TTTTTCTCTTCCTTCCCCTCCCTCCCTTCTCCTCACCCCTTTCCTTCTCTCTTCTCCCTTCCTCCATTCCTTCCATCTGCAAATCTCTGCCATGCCTTCTTGCCTCTCCTCATTCCTCATGGAAAAAGTTCTCCACCGTAAGGGCCCATACCATTAGACCTTGCCACTCAGCTAACCCTGCTCTCCCACTCAGTCCATTTTAAGATTGATGACCTTTATCTCACCTGCAGAGTTCATCAGGTCACATACAGAATGTACAAGTTCCAGAGGAACTGGTGTAGACATCCTTGGGGACCATTCTGCCCACTACAGTGGACAAGGTACCCAATGTGGACAGTGACTGAAGCCAGAGGTAGAGAATAGCACCAGAGGGAAGGAAAGACACTGTGGGAAATGTACTAATCAGAATAAGCCTGGGACTCAGACTGAATTCTCAGCCGGGCCCGAGGGCTGGACAACATAGCCTGGATATACTTTGACCCCCCTCCACTGACACTGGCTCTGTAAGACAGAACTCGTGCATCAAACCCCTGTCGAGCTGGGGTAGAGGAATTTAAGGCCTCAGTGTGGGGCAACCTAGGGAGGACCCTAACTCTGGTTCCGATTACTGCAGCTGAGCCATCTGTAGGCCATTCAGTCCATGCTGGCTTTGTCTTGGCTTTGGTCTCACCTAGGGCATGAAACTCTTCTGATGTCTTGATCGTATTTCTAAAGATGGAAGTGTCCACTTCGATCCCTGGTTTTATTGACTGCACCTGTGATCAGTAGTTACCAGGCCAGTCCAGGCCTGTGCCAACTGGGCACTCACTCTCAAAGAGTCTCCCATTTGCCAAGACACATGTTCACCCAGTTGCCCTTGGAAGATCAAGTGGTAAAGAGGCATGTGCATTAGATGACCATCCTCAGAGTGTCTCTCTGGCTCAGCTGGAAGTCCTCACAGCTGAAGGCCTAGTAATTGCCCCACTCTGTCCTCCTCCTCACAGACTGTGCAGAAACAAGCAGCCATGGGTGGGGGAGGGCCCTTGAGAGCCCCCAATGAATTAGGTTGATGTGAAGGACCCACAAAGAGAGATTGGGGTTTGTGTGTGACAGGGAAGAAGCATGATGAAGATCCTGCGTCACTGTGACAACTCTAACACCTTGCCTATCACCTCACTTACCTGGCAGGCTTCCAGGAACGAGATGCAGCAGGTTGCTCCAAAGGGCTACCAAGTTTCCTGGTGCCTCTAGGCCACCCTTCCCCACACTGGTAAGAGAGGTGCTGTAAAGTAGAGAAGTCGAGCATCCCTGGCTGTGAGGTGCACACCTACCTGGTCTCTGCTTGAGGTGAAGTGGCATCCCCTCATGCATGTCCATCCCCAGGGACACTGTGGACTCTGTTTCCATCCTTAGCCAGGTGCCACTGTACACACCTAGGAAGCTGAAAATATAAATGGCATCTGGTTTCTGGGTAAATTTTCTATTACCATGAAAAGAAACCATGACCAAGGCAACTTATAAAAAAAAAAGAGTTTATTGGGGGACTTACAACTTCAGAAGGTGAGGTCATTGACTAATGACCATCATGGCAGGGAACATGGTAGCAGACAATCAGGCATGGCATTGGAGGAGTAGCTGAGAGCTTACTTACATCCTAATCCAAAAACATGAGGCAGAGAAAGCTAATTGGCTGTGATGGGAGTCTTTTGAAATCTCAAAGCCAGCCCTCAGTGACACACCTTCTCTGATAAGGCCACACCTCCTAATCCTTCTCAAACAGTTCCATCAAGTGGGGATCAAGCATTCAAATATATGAGCTCATGGGGGAAGGAGCAGTCTCATTCAAACCACCACACTAGAGAAGGCACCCTGGAGGTGCTAGGAATCCATGGGACCAGTATACCCTCTCAAGTGTGTCTCCTATTGAACACATCTTGAGGGAGTTATAGGGTGTGAAGACAGCCACTTCCAAGGTGACATGCAGCGTAACTAACTGTTCACATAACATTCTTAAAATGAAAAACTACCAAAATTGGGTGGTTGGCCCTGAGCTGGACATGAGGGTTAGGGGTGGATGGCATCTTCAGTATGAAGGACCATTCTTTGTTCCAATGCAATATGGGCACACAACCCTGCATGTGTAATTATTGTGCATGGAACTAAACCCGTGTGCATGCACACACAAGCAGAAGTATGAATGGGGCAAAGAAGATAAAACTGTTGATCACATGAGTGATAGCCTGGAGGTGATCAGACTTAGTTTAAGGAGGCATTACCAGTGGAGTGATTGTTGAGATAGACTCAGGAAGATGTAAGCAAGATCTGTACCCCAGAGAGGGGACCAGGACAAGGTCTAGATTAAAGAACCAGTGAGTTTGCAAGTCTACTGGGGTCACTTACAGGAGCATCATTGACCCCAAGGTAGCCACCTCACCAAAAAGCATTCTAGAATAGATGACAACTCCCCCATGGTCACACAGATGGAGGCCCTACTTCGATTAACATTCCACATTCTCTGTACTCTAGTGCCTCCCACAACCAGGAGACCATGTTCAGCTGGGGCAGAATTACATACATACAGATGCCTGGGAGGTGCCGCAGGGAGTGGCTAAAGTCTCCTCGGTTAAGGGTCTAATGACCTTACCTGCCTCCTCCTTCTGCTAGGCAATGTCATTAGGCATGTGAGGGTCTCTTGGGGAAGTTAGGAATGCTTTGCTGAAGACGGTTATAGTTGTTACCCTATACAGAGGATAGAGTTCCACAGGGTAAACCGAGGAACAGATACACTAACTTTTTCTGTATTGTGTTTTGTGACTGCCTGGAACTTTGCAGTTACCTAAAAATAGAATGTTTGACTAAGGAAATGGAAACTGTAATTAATCATGAGCAAATGTTGATATTTAACTTAATTTTCCCCCTTTTGCCCTCACATCCCTTTAATCAGACCATGATGGTAGCTATTGACTTTAGCATCCACTGATGAATATGGGTCGTGACCTGTGCGTAAGGTCCTTGACAGGCTGTACCGCAGTGGAGTTAGAACATAAATAGTGCTGCTAGCGTTATTATTGATTAGAGAGACACAGCTGAGCGGGGAATATATGTGTGTGCAAAGACCAGCTAGGAAAGCGAAGGCTTTAAATATTAACGGCATGTGTCTCTCCAGGCCTGGTCTATACACACAAGACCCCATATCGGAGGGTTCTGCTTCTGTCTAGTGAATCCACAGCCATCTCCATGGTGCAGGCAAGTAGTTGGGGCAGATGCTTCTGCTCAGGAGGTCCAAGTAATTGCAGAGTTGATACCCACTTTCTGCCCATTCAGAAACCTTCGGTCTTTTCTTTTCTTTGAACTGGTATGTTTTTATTTCTGCACCCCCTTTTGGTCCCACCTATTTTTTTTAAGATGTAGTCAATATAGGAGGTACGCCAAGCCTTATTATCCACATTTAACACTATTACAATGAAAAGAAGATGTCTCCAGAAATTAATTATCGCACAGAAAGTGAACACAAGAGTCTTTGTCATTGTGATAATGAAGTAGCACTGCTGCTTTAATGCCCCTGAGCCCAGCCATGCCTCTGCTGGATTCTGCTGAATAAACTGCGAAAAATATTGCAATTTACTCTCCAAGGAAACTCATTGTCTAATACAACCACTATTTCCTGTTGCCCACTCAAGGGGCGAGTCTACAGAATAAAAATGCTCCGGAGTCTCCCTCCCTGCTAAGGATGGATGAGAGTCTCTGTACCCTCCACCCGCCTCCTGTTGGCACTATTATTTTGCATTCCATCGACATATTAAATTTATGTTGTAGCGGAGAACTGCTAAGACTTCAAAAAAAATAAGTTAATAGGCTGCGCTGTTCCTTGATATAGGCCTGGCCCCTTGTTATGGGGCTATTCAACATGCTTCACAGTTGGTGTTTAGTTTAGATATGGAAACAAGCTAGCCTATAAAGTACTGTGCTGTAAATATACCTTTATGAAGCTCTTGGGATACCCTTTCTAAAATGTGAATTAAGATATTTCATGATTTCAAGCCCATAAACTGAGAAGTAGCCATCGCCCTGAGTGGTAATTTGCTTTCTGAAACCTTAGAATATAAATCACCTTTGCCTGCTGTTCCCCAAGTTTGAGTTTGTGAATGTGATAGTGACTGATGATGACGTGTTTAGGAATAAAAAATGTAAGAGCTCAGACTGGGGACTGGGAAGATGACTCGGTCAATAAAGTACTTGCCATACATACATGAGGACCTGAGTTCAGGCCCCACTACTCAAATAAGAGGCCAGGCATGGCAGTGCACACCCATAATCGTAGTGCTAGGGTGGAGGAGGGTGAGAAAGGAGGATCCCAGTCTAGCCAAGCAGGTGAGCTTCAGGTTGAGTGAAGACCCTGTCTCAAAAAAATAAAGTGAGGAGCAATTGAATACACCTGACATTGACCTCTGGCCTGTGTGTAGGACATACATACACACACACACACACACACACACACACACACACACACACACACACACACACACACACATGAGAGAGAGAGAGAGAGAGACAGACAGACAGACAGACAGACAGACACCATTGTGGTCTTTGACATCCTTCTTGTGTTAGTTCCTTTCTCATTGCTATGATTAAATGTTCCAACAGAAGCAACTAAAGGGAGCAGGGTTTGGTTTTGTCTCACAGTTCCGGAAGGATGTGGTCCATCATGATGGGAAAGAAATGATGACAGGCAGGGAAGGCATGATGGCCAGCGCAGAAGACTGGCTGTTCACATCGCATCCACACCCTGGACGCAGAGAGTGAACAGAAAGTGGGGTCTGGCTACAGAGCCTCAAGGCCCATCCCCAGGGGCTCACATCCTCCAATAGGGTCCCACCTCTTAAAAGTCCCACAACCTTCCTCCACAGTGCCACCATCTGGGAATCAAGAGTTCAAATGTGTGTGCCCGTGGAGGGCATTTCACATTCAGACTGCAGCACACCTTTACTTAGGGGCCATTCTCTTTTCCTTGTTTAAAGAGCCACCATATTTCACTGCTGAGCCAGAGAGTCGGATTTTAGGTGAAGTGGAAGAAACTGTGGACATCCCATGTCGAGCCATGGGTGAGTATGGGAAGTACCAGATGGGGACCCGTGGTGAATGACTGTAAATATCCAGGGAGGCCTTTAAAACCTTCCAGGGGGGACAGTGAACATGAAGACTGGGAACACTGGACAATGGGACTCAGTACTAGCCTGTGACCTTTCTGAAGAAAGTCACCATTGTGAAGATCTTGCTTCCTTGTATGTAGATCAATCCAGGGCTGGCACAGTGTAATATCTACTGACCCTCAAGAGAGAGGAAGGCGAGAAGAAAGCCCTTGCCCGTTGTCTGCCCAAAAGACAGGGTACTCAGCAGACCCTGTGATTCCCTTTGGTACTTGGGTTCCCTAGAGTATATGGGCCTAAGACCATGGCTCTCAAGAAACCCATCTCCATCCACCAGGAGATTAGGACCGGGGATTACATCCATCTGTCCTTAAGAAAAGGAGGGTACTTTTATTATTAACTAATTAACAGGATTTCATATAACCTAGCCTGGCCTCAAACTTGCTAGCAGCCAAGGATGACTGTGAGCTCCTGATCCTCCCGCATCCACCTCTCAAGTACTGGGATCACAGGTGTGATCATCACACCCGATTTATGCTGTGCTGGGGATGGAACGCAGGAGATTCCTACATGCTAGGCAAGCACGCCGCCAGCTAAGCCACATCCCAGACTCCCATTCTGATTATTATTATTTTTTGAATGAGAACTTTTCCTCCCTTTCTGCACTTTTAGCTCTGGGGCAGCTCTCCCAGTCCACAGTCCATTGTGCTCTCCTTCCTAAGAATCCTTGTACCCATTACCCTGTCCATGGCTTTACTATGAGGTTACAGGGAGTTACATGATGCTGCCCTCCCCCTTGTTCACACACACACACACACACACACACACACACACACACACACACACACACTCACATGACACAGGCTTTACAAGGCAATTCGTTACCAAGACCTGTATAGATGAAAAGGCTCTTTCCCTGTCTGTTTAGACCGGCCATAATAAACATGGTTTTCCTCTACTCACTTAGCCCTGTTAGGGGGGAAATGCCCTAAATTCCCCATCCAAATGGTTCAGGATGACAAGCTTTTATCTCATGTATGTCCTGGGGCTGGAGACTCCCTCCTTTTCTGAGTTGTAGGCTTAGTCGTGTAGCTGACTGCCTGTGTGACCTTTCAACCCTAGGGACCCAAGAGTACCTGGGCAAGCAGGTGTGAGCAGCTAGCTAGGGAAGGCAGGGGACAAGTGCCGCCTGCTTGTCTGTGGCTTTCTAATGAGCTTTAAATGCACCTCATAACTGCCCCTCACCCTGAAAATAGACCAGACTGATTTCTCTCTCATAGTACCAGTTTGGAAAGTGTTCCAGTTTCATAAGATGGTTATCTCTCTATAGACACCATTGAAACCTTACTTCAGAGAAGACATACTAAAGTATTATGTTCGGAGCCTCCAAGATTAAACAAGACACGTATTGGAAAATTGTCACTAGCTGTCTGGCATTTAGAATCTTCTCACCAAATACTGGGATCATGGGGCAGTGCAGAACAGTCCAAAACCCAGTCCATCGGCATGTGCCTCGGCATATACTCTTGCTGTGACACTTGGCTACCTCTGAGAGCTAATGCCTAGGACTTAGAGCAGGCCTCACCTCTCGGTGCTCAACTATGTCCACCTCACCCTTCAGTTCTGAAATGGGAGCCCTGTGACTCACAACAGCTCTCAGTAAATGCAGAGTTGCCTCTGACCAGTAGTCCCTCCAGTGGTTTACATATACCTGCTCTTCACCAAAGGGCCTGCAGCCTCTGGTGCCCACTCCAGTCACCTCGTCACCATCTCTCTAAAGACGCTGTTTCTATTCTCCTCAGTTCTAGCTCCATTCATGCAGCTGCGGAGGAGGACAAGAGAGGAATGGTACAGATTTTCAGTGGAGACACTTCTTCGTACTGTGGTGGCCTTGTTCTTTTCTCCCACCATAGCAGCCTCTAGACCGTAGCTCTGTGCATGAGAAGCTAGGCAGCATTCACAGTGTAGAAATGAGTGAGTTCTCCACTACTGCAGGGCATATGGTTCCCATCTGACATTAAATTGCCCCCCAGGAGAAACACCCCCACCCTCCCGTGTAGTAACTATTATTTTTCAATAAATGACAATCCTGACATTCTTCCTCCAACAGGGGAGTGCTCTCTTCTTGCGTAATTTCTGCAGGGCAAACTGTTAAGCATAGACTTGTAAATGTGTATTGAACAGGCCTTCCCACCATGTGATTTACAGCTCTCTCTCTCTCTTAACTCTGGCAGTGAAACACACTGCATGGGGAGTTGGGTGGGGGTTCCCTGGGAGAGCTACATCATGTAATCACCATTATGAGGTTTTACATGAATTGCGTATGCTTTTACCTTGAAATGGATTTTAAAAAGTCGTCCTGATTTAATGAGAGGTGACAGGAAACGTAATTAAGGGGGAGAAACTGCCTGAGAACACATCAGCTGGAAATGCTCCCGACATCAGCTCTATTCATTCAAATGGACCTTCTACACTCATGTAGGTGGAGACTGAGTCAGGGGTCTCAGTAAGCCTTTTAGAATCATGGCAAAATGTACCTTTTAAAACTTCAATCCATTTTATGGTGCCAGGCCTGGAGGCACATGCCTGTAATCCCAGTACTCAGGAGTCTGAAGCAAGAAGGTCAAGAGTTCAAGGCCAACCTGGGCTATGTAGCAAGATTTTTGTCTCAAAACCACCACCACCACCACCACCCCCTTAAAAAAAATCATTTTTATTTAGGGAAACTAAGGAACAAAAGCACCTAAACTCTAGAACTAACTCTTAGTGTCTCCTCGGGTTTCCATGCCCACTGTGTTTCTGTAGTTTGTTATGTCATATGGGTTTGGGCTGCTTCTCTGTAGAGCCTCTTTGTACACTTAGTTCACCCTTTCTAGGTGGGTGTGGTCTTGTTGGACTCCAGGGAGGTCAGAGATAGACCCCAGGAAGTCTAGCCCTGCACAGAAGCTGCCAGCAGAGGGCCCAAGTGTCCCCTGCTCAGTACTGGGCTGCCCCAGGCAGTGCAGCACCACTGTTCATCAGCCCTGAGCTGTGTGAACTGACACTGCCATGGAGAAGGGCTTCAGAAGTCCACAGCAGGTGCTTAGACTGCCCACAGTCCCTTCCGTGTACCACCTAGGTTATGACCCTTGTGAACCCATGTCCACCATGGAAGCCAGGCCTTGTTTCTCACTGGGATACCACACACACACACACACACACACACACACACACACACACACACACACACACGGAAGGGGAAACTAAGCAGGGCTCTGGAGTCAGAGCCTGTCTGATGGTCTGAGTCTGGTTCCCTAATCCTTCTAATCTAGCACCCTACCGTGTACCTTGGGGTGCAGGGCCTCTTGCACCCCCCTCTTCCTGCACTCATGTGGGTCTTAGGAACAAAGCAACTTGTGCAGTATCCACAAAGTGGACATATGTTCCTACCTCCTCTAACCAGGGCGACTCCAAGGCTTTTAGTCATTCCTTCTGCAATAGAGATTTTCCTCAAGGTCACTGGCATCTGTGGGTGCCATGGATGAGGAGGTATTTGAAGTGGCCTGCAGTCTGGTTGTTGGTTGCGGTAGTGAGTACTCACACTATCCACAGAGCCCCTGCCATGTGCCTGCCTGGAGTTTTACATACAAACCTGTCAGATCTTCACAGCCTTTGATGTCATGCTCTAAACCTTCCTGCTATATTAGTGACTTGTTTCACGGCTGTGACTAAGTCCCTGACAAGTACAACTGGCTCACAGTGTGAAGATCCACTCCATTGTGGCAGGGAAGGAGGTGCAGGGTATAAGGAGCATATGGTCACATGGGTCACATGGCATCCACAGTCACGAAGCAAAGGGAGATGAATGTCAGTGCTCAGCTCACTCTCTCCTTTTTATTCAATTGAGAACCCAGCCCATGGGATAGTGTCACCCACATTGGTGGTGTGTCTTCCCACTTCCATCAACCCAATATAGAAGCTCCCAGTGACCTGGATTGGCCTGCTTAGTAGGGACAGAATCAGGGGTATCAACTCTGGCCTAAACTCAAGGGCAATTACAGTTATCTTTCTAAATGAGTGCAAACCTGGGGGGTTGTGGCCCTTCCTTATTCCTCCTTCCTCTTCAGAATGCTCAGTATGGGTTTCTTCGTGTAGATGAGGGAAGTATCCCTAATGATTGGTTGTAGTGTGAGATTGCCATATGAGTCTCTGAAGCCATTTTGCCTTAACCCTCCTACAGAGAGCTCCTGGAGTGTAACGCTTCCCTCCATTCCTATCCAGGGGTCCCTCTCCCCACCCTCCAGTGGTACAAAGATGCTGTCCCCCTGAGCAAGCTCCAGAACCCGAGGTACAGAGTGCTCCCCAGCGGAGGCTTGCATATTCAGAAACTGAGTCCAGAAGACTCCGGAATCTTCCAGTGCTTTGCCAATAATGAAGGAGGAGAGATCCAGACCCACACCTACCTGGATGTGACCAGTGAGTAACACACGTGAGCATGGCCAGCCTTCCTCCAGTCAGAGCTGCCCACTGGGCCTAGTACACAGGCTGGTAGCGTCCTGTCAGCTCCCGAGGTGACGAAGGAACAGAGAGCCCTGTGATGAGGGCTGAGCTAAGGTGAACCATGACCTAGGCAAACCCATGAGCCTTGCTCTTTATTTAGAATAAATATTAAATATTAAAAGAAAATCTTCCTTTTTAGACAAGTAGAAAAATATTTCATTTTTCCACCCCCTGGACAGAATCAGAAAGACTATCCAGTATATAGCTCATGCTTAATCTTTTTCTTTTGATCTTTTCCCTCTGTTTTAAAAAATATTCATTCTCTACTTTAGTTTTATTGAACAATTACAGTTCTTTTGTGGGTTTCTTTTATTATCCCATTAGCAGAAATACCTTGGCACCCTGTCTTTGAAAAATAAAATTAAAGTACAGGTTCTCACTGTATCTGTGGGTTTTCTTTCTAATCTCCCGCAGTTGTAACATTGTTCCTCTGAAATGAAGTAGAATTTAGTGGTTATGGAATTGCACCTTTCAAGTTTGCCCTTTTTTTAGAGGCAAAGTGCTGATATCACAGGTGTGAGCACCACTGGGGAGTGTGGCTGTGTATGCACGGGACTGGTGTCTCCCTGCATCGTGTCCAGTGACAGCTAAGTTATTAAAATGCACGTGTATTTTGGTAAACTTAGGAGGTCACTGTCACTGACCCTTCCCAGAAGTCATATTTGTCCTTCACTGCAGAGCACCGGCAATCAATCTTGCTCCAGGCAGTTGCAATAATATTGGGTGTTTAAGGCAGAAACTTGAGTTTGCATCCACTAGGATTATTTAAAACCCACCTTGCGGCCATGGCCAGGGTGTTCTGATGCAGACTGACCAGGTAGTTTGAGTTTGTTTATGGTTTGTTAATTTGTTTTTCTCTGAAAGGTCTGGTAATAGATGCTGTAGACTTTCAGGGGCATGGTCTATGTTACAGCTAGATAGCACAGAAGACATAACCTTGCAGGAGTGAATGGGAGTATATATGAGGTGTCTAGCCACCCCTACCCCATCATGTGAAAGAGAGGCGGGGGTCTGCAGTAGTGTGGCTGCTCTGGAGAAGAGTGGAACATGGGCTGCATTTGATTCCAGCACATGTCTGTCTCGTTCCTCTTACTTGGGACTGTGAGGCTCTCATACTGCCTGCCTTTCCCCATGAACAAAAAGAAGCCATGGAGTGGGGCAGGGGTTCTTAAGCCTGTGTGTCAGCTTTCAGAATGCCCCTGGAAAGTGTCATGGAACATGTCATCCCATGGTTGATACAGTCTGTCACCTAAAGGACAAAGCCAATTGGTTTCTGTAGATAAACACACTTCCTGGGCCCTTGAACTTGGCAAAGGGCATCCACTTCCCTTTAGATGCTAAGCAACGACGGGTGATTCCTGGCAGGGTGACACAGGGTAGGAGGCACTCCTGAATGACTACTATTTTTCGACACAGTACCCTTCCCTCTGATTGGTCCTGCAAGACCTGTGCGGATTCCTAGGCAGGCTTCTCAGAGACGGTGCTGCAGCTCACTGCTAACCTCTCCCCACAGATATTGCTCCTGCCTTCACCCAGCGTCCAGTGGACACCAGGGTCACTGACGGGATGACAGCTGTCCTGAGGTGTGAGGTGTCTGGGGCTCCCAAACCTGCAATCACATGGAAGAGAGGCAGGTGGCTCTGCAGCAGCGTGGCTAGTATGCGTGGCTGGTGTGCGTGGCTGGTGTGGAAAACACTGGAATGTTGGCTGCATTGTTCTTTCTTCTCACACATTCACTCAGTGAAAACTGAATGACATTTATTGGATGCCTCCACCAGGGGCATCTAGCCAGGGTGCAGCATGAAGGAGACAGGTGACCCTGGGCTTCTAGAAAACTTGGGGACTGGAGAAATGGTTCAGTCAGTAAAATGTCTGTGACACAAGCATGAAGGTGTGAGTTCAGGTGCCAGTACCTGTGTAAAAAGTTGTCATCCTGGCACAGGAGAGGCAGAGACAGGAGTATCCCTGGGCTTGGTGGCCAGATAGTCTAGCCTAGTTTCCAGCCATTAACCCTGTCTAAAAAAAAGTACAGCCTCTACATACATTCACACCATATACATATGGACGACTTGTACATACACACATGTGTATTTACACACACAAACACCTCATGGACCAGTGGTTTTCAACCTGTGGGTTGCGACTCCTTAGGGGTCATATAAGACCATCAGAGAACACAGATATTTACATTATGATTCACAACAGTAGCAAAATCACAGTTATGAAGTAGTGATGAATAATTCTGTGACTGGGAGTCACCCCAGCATGAGGAACTGCATTAAAGGGTCACAGCATTAGGAAGGTTGGGAACCACTGCCATATACCCATACTTATTTTTTTAATTAGGAAAGTCAGTGGGCATTAAGAGTAGTAATGACTGTGTAAATACAGCTCTCCTTTACACAAGCCCTCAGTGAGTGCCCTCTGCCCACTGGGGCTCCTGAAGATAGTAAGCCCTGAATGTGAAGGAAGTGTGAAAAGCGGTCATCCGAAGGTAAGGACCCCGTACACAGATCAGAATTGTTCGAGATCCTTGCCGATGATGAGGAAAGCGCCTCAGCTATGTTTGCACAGAATGTTCGCTTTGCTTGGACTATTGTCTTGCCAGCAACTCCATCCCTTCCTTCCCCACCGGCTGCTGTACCTCTAACGACCCTCTTTCTCTCCTGCCCTTCAGGGAACCTCATTCTGGCCAGTGGCTCTGTCCGGATTCCGAGGTTCATGCTGCTGGAATCTGGGGGGCTGCGGATAGCCCCTGTCTTCATCCAGGATGCCGGCAACTACACCTGTTATGCGGCCAATACCGAGGCCTCTGTGAACGCATCGGCCACGCTCACTGTGTGGAGTAAGGACCGTTCTCTGTCACCGTGCCATCTGTGTCCCGGGGGTGTCAGTACCCCCTTAGATCTTCTCACTTAGTTCAAAGAAGATGATTATTTTTACAGCTAATTTATAGAAATCTGTTGAGTAATTAAATTTTCTGTTTCTGAAAGAATAATTAGGAGACGTATCCAGAGAGTTCATGGCACTATTTCAAGAGCAGTAACAGATCGACTTTTGAAAATCAGTAGACTTATTATACCCAGTTGGCTAGGATAACTAAAGTAATGTTTTGATTAATTTTATAAGAAAATTGAATCGTCATTGATATCCTAAAGAAAGTGTCTTGGAGACTAAGGAGATTGCTCAGTCAATAAAAGTCTTGATATGCAATCATGAGGAAGTGAGTTTGATTCCCCAGCACCTACCAGGCATACACTTGTAATCCCAGTGCTCTAGAAACAGACACAGGGATTCCTGGGCCTCACTGGCAACCAGTCTCATCTGGGGCTCCAGGTATAGTGAGGGACTCTGTCTCGTGAAATAAAGAGGAGAGTGGTTAAAGCAGACACCCGACATTGACCTCTGGCCTCTGCGTACACACATACACATGCCCATGCACACACACAAACAGAAGGTATTGTTTCTATACTATCTAGTATCAACTACATAAATGAAATAGGGACATAGTAGAAGCCAACAGTAGGGACATCTTTATTCCTCCAGTCTTTATCATCCTCAGTGGAGGTCACTGGTCCTTGATGTACAGAAAGAATTGTTTTCCATAACGTGACAATCCGAACACCAAATGTCCTGCCTCTAGTGCAGTGGTTCTCAACCCTCCTGATGCCGTGACCCTTTAAGTTCCTCATGTTGTGGTGACCTCCCAGCCATAAAATTATTTCATTGCTACTTCATAGCCATAATTTTGCTACTGTTATGAATCATAATGTAAATATCTGATATGCAGGATATCTGACATGTAACCCCTATGAAAGGGTCATTCAACCCCCAGAGAGGTCGAGATCCACAGGTTGAGAACCGCTGCTAAAGTACCTAAATGCCCTTTCTTCCTGTGACCCCAGGCAACATTAGTAACAGCTCATTTTCAAACGGAAAATCCTGGTGTGCACTAACAATCTCCATAAGGGTCTCTAGTGAGAGGGAAAGTTCAAACTCACTCCATTTGATGCATGGGGGAATGTTAGCTTCACATTTTTCAAGCCTGTAGAAGAGGAAAATGTGAGGTCTGGCTCTCCATAGATCACTCTCCAGAAAGTTCCATGGATCTGTTGAGGATCAGTGTTAGCCCAGTGGCCTGTAGAGTTATCCAGGCTTCTCAATCAAGCTGCTCCTCAGTCACATGCCCTCTCATAGGCAAAGACCAGAGGGCTCAGCAACCTTTCCTGGCACACAGCTGGCAATTCACCATGCTGGGCTTTGAGTGCAGCCCTGGGACTCACAAGTTCTAGCTCTGGGTATGACACCAGAGTGGTGTCCCCCAGCAGGAGTGTGCCAGCATAGCACAGGCTGACTCCGGAGAAGCTGGCATCTGCAGTAGTAGCTATGGGTTCTGGAATCCTCAGATGTGGGGCAGCCAATGGGCCCTGCTTCTTGCCAGCTTTGTGGTCCTGGGCAGCTCACAGTAGGCCTGGGCATCCATGCTCACTCTCAAGAATTAGGAGTAATGACAATCATCATTAAATCAATCAGCACAAATGAAAGCACCTTCCAGAGTCACAGGTGCTGTGTGGACACTAGAAGATTTTAAGACAATAATTATCTTAGCAAAGAATCTAGATTTATTTATATACTATTTATTTATTTATGTATTCATTACAACATCGGGGATTAAACCTAGGACCTCGACCACTGAGCTACATCCCTAGCCCTCTTTTTACTTTTTCTTTAGAAATAGGGTCTCAGTGTGTTTCCTAGGCTGCTCTTAAACTTACCCTGTAATTTGCTGGCCATGAACTCATTCCAGATCCCAAGCTGGCCTTGAATATGTGATCCTCCTGTCTCAGCCTCCCTAGCAACTTGAATGATAGGCCTCCACTTCTACCCTGGTTTAAGAATCCAGGCTTTAGGCCAGAGCGACAGCTCAGATAGTCAAGTACTAAACTTGCAACCATGGGGACCTGAGTTTGATCCTCAGAAGGCACATAGAAGAGCTGGGAGCGATGGCACATGCTTGTCATCCCATGACTGGGGAGTGAGAGACAGGCAGGTACTGGGAGCTCACTGGCCAGCAAGCCTGCCCCACTTGATGAGTTCCAGGCCAGTGAGAGACCCTGTCAGAAAAAACAAGGTGGACAGCTTCAGAGGAAGAGCGCCTAAGATTGACCACACACACACACACACACACACACACACACACTCCAAAGAGCCCAGACTCTAGCCTGCAGCAGGGACTCCCTAAGTGTTTGCACAAGGTCTTTTGGAGACCTGGGATGACTTAGGAGTGGGCGGGTTAACTGACTTTGCTGCCACACAGAAAGGCTTGTTTTCCATTCCCTGAACATGGCTGAGCACTTCCATTTACACCCGTTTTGCCAAGATAAGAGAGAATTCGGAGGCTTTGATGTCAGATGACCAATTCATTATCCCCCCCCCCCCCCCCCCCCGAGGGCACAGACTTGCACGCTGGTGATTTCATCGCGCTGTGACTTGTGTTGTTTCAGATCGAACGTCCATCGTTCACCCTCCAGAGGACCGCGTTGTGATTAAGGGGACGACAGCCACCCTGTGCTGCGGAGCCACCCACGACCCTCGGACCTCTCTCCGGTTGCTCATCCTGTTCTCATTCTTTAGGACTTGTTAAGATTTCCTGGGTTAATGAAGGGAAAGTTGAGATGAGAAGGGAGAGTTTCGGGGTCTTGATTTTAGCAGCAGATCCCTGATGATGGCATCTCCCAGTGGCAGGCTCCATCATTAATCACGGGAATCGGTCTTCCATTCCAGCCTTATGTATTATTTACAGTGGGCTATGCTCCACTCCATGGCTTCAATACAGCTTTTTGTGATTTTCCTGCCAAGGTTAATACACTGTCTGTAAAACGCACTTGTCAGGGACTGATACTTAATGAGACAAAAATCCAGAGGGATGGAATAGGATTTCAGTGGTGTTGACATGGGAGCTCTGCAATACTCAGGAGGGGTTTTCTATCCTGCAAGGATGGTTTTTCTGTATAGCAGGGAGAAGAAAGGTGTGCGGGTGTCCAAGGCAGTAAAAGGGAAACACAGGCAGAGGAGGGAGCCAGGCAGCTTGGTGATTCTCTAGTGCCAAGTGGGACATCCCGTAGACTTGAAGCTGATGTTGATAATTGTGACACTCGGGCTGGTCATGTGGCTCAGTTATAGAGTGCTTGCCATTATGCATGAAGCCCTGGGTTCCATCTCCATCAGTGCATACACCGGGCTTGCGGGGTGCATGCTTCTAATCCTAGCACTCCAGAGGTGGAAACAGGATCAGAAATTGAAGGTTGTCCTCAGCCATGTGATGATTCAAGGTCAGCCTTGGTTACAGGAAACCCTGTCTCTAAACAAAACAAACACAACCCAGGCATGGTAGTGCATGCCTTTAATCCCAGCACTTGGGAGGCAGAGGCAGGGGGATCTCTGTGAGTTAGAAGCCAGCCTGGTCTGCTTAGTGAGTTCCAGGACATTTAGGGCTACACAGTGAGACCATGTCTCAAAACCAAAACAAGCAAAACAAAGTCTAAAAGCCAGGCCACTTCAGGTAAGGGCCTGGCTGCAGACAGGTAGCCCTCAGCAGTGAGCTTTGTGTCAAAGAGCAGAATAGTTGTGACTTTTCAGACTCAACTCTGAAAATAAATGAACCAGGAAGGGGGGTAGGCAGTAAATGGAGAGAAATGCATCACACAGCATCATCATCCCGCCATAGTTCTCAAAGGCCACACTTAGCAGAAAGGACGGAATTGGAGTTGACAGTAAGCAGAGCTGATGCCCTGAGAACTGGGTTCAGAGACTTGACCCTTCAGGGCAGGTATTTGGCAGACCATTCACTTCTACGTCCCCACCCGACTCCCCAAAGTGTCCAGGGCTGGAACACAGGTGTGGGTTAACTGCAAGTAGAGCAAATGGGAAACCCAGAGGAACACACAAGAAGCAACAAGTTAAAGGTTCCCTAGGGGACCCTGGGAGGCCCACCCGGAGATCTCTTTTACATGTAGAGAATCCATTCATTGTAGAGGAGGCAGGGTATGATTTCAAACAATGCTCCAAGAGCTCAGAAGCATCCCCTTGGATGGTCCCTTTGCGGGACTGAGCCCCCTTCTGTGAAGGACTTGGGCTGTCCCCACTTTAGAGGGCCCCAGGCTATACAGGGCAGTCTGTCTTTCTCTTCGAGTGGGCTTTGCGCTGTTGTCTCTTGTGTTGCAGGGGACCTCCTGTGACTAATTCACAGAAGTTTGTTCTGTGAATACACAGGGCAGAAAGGGCCGGTCCATTTGGAAAATGTGATCAAATTATTCTAATAAAGAGAAAGCCAGCACTTTCAGCTCATCTAGCCGTCAGTAGGGCCTTGCCCAGGGACGTTTAGGGCTGGACAGGCTCATAATTGAGTCTATATTGGAAAAGAAAAATGTGCTAAAATGGCCATAAAGCTTAAATGAGGAAGAAGGTGGCATCAGAGAGAGCCTGCCCAGGGCGGTGGGACTTTAGCAGGACAGTTACAAGGTGCCCAGAGCTTTGCTCAGGAGGTGGGGTGCCTCTCTGGGGGTCTTTAGCAAGCATTACTGAGGCAGGAGAGCTGGGTGGGTGCAGTTCAGTAGGTAACAGCTGTGCCTCTGACCCACAGAGTCCCTGTCTCCCAGGCACAAGCTAAGTCAGATTCACAGTCATCTTCATTGCCACATTTTGGGATTCTGTTTATTGTATGTGTTGGGAGTAGTACATCTGTGGTACACTTGTATACAGGTGTGTGTGTGTGTGTGTGTGTGTGTGTGTGTGTGTGTGTGTGTGCATGTTTCCCATGTACATAGGCATATACATGTGCAGGTGCATGTACACACCTGTGTGCACATACATGTGGAGGCCAGAGGCTGATGCTGTTGACCGACCTCCTCTTCATTTATAGAGGCCAGGTCTTTTGCTAAACCCGATTCAGCTAGTCTAGCAGCCCGCTTGCTCTGGGAATCCCACCTTTTCATCTGAGTGCATGGATTACAGGGGGCCACCATGCCCCTCAGCTTTTATGTGGGTACTGAAGAGCTGAACTCCAGTCTTAATGCTTGCACAGAAAGCCTTTATCCACTGAGCCGTTGTCCAGATCCTCCATCTTGTTTTGAGACAGCGTCTCTCACTTAACCTGGAGCTCACCAGTTAGACTAAACTGAGGGTGGGATCCCTGCCCCTCCCCCATCGATCTACCTGTCTGCTTCCCCACGCACTGAGACTACTAGTGTTTTTATGTGGATTCTGGGAATTAAACTTGGGTCTTTTTGAATGAAAGGCCAACACTTTATCCACTAACTTACCCCCCCAGCATCACTGTCTTGTTTCAGTCTCTGAGTTATCAATCAGCTTTTGTATATTGCTCAAGATATCTCCTGCTCCCCACCATACCAAAAGACTCGCCTTTTACAAAGATTTATTTTTATTTATGTCTATGTGTGTGTATGCATCTGTGTGAATGTATGCTACATGTGTGCAATTGCCCAAGGAGGCCAGAAGACAGTGTCCAACCCCCATAGTTGACCTGGGTGCTAGGAACCAAACTTGGGTCATCTGGAATGGCAGGACACACTCTTAATCACTGAGTAATTTCTCCAGCCCAAAACTCATACCTTTAAAGATGTAAGTCAGTCATTTTTTACTCTGTTCTCCAATTCACCAGCTGCTTGCTCTTCTTCGCTGTCAAGGAAGGGGCGGGATCCTGCTCCTGTTGCTTTTGTGATGAACTCTCTGCTTGGCCCACAGCTACGTTTGGAAAAAGGACAACGTGGTCATCACACCATCCAGCAGCTCGAGAATTGTGGTGGAGAAGGACGGGTCCCTTCTCATTAGCCAGACGTGGTCAGGGGACATTGGGGACTACACCTGTGAGATTGTGTCTGAGGGCGGGAATGACTCCCGCACAGCACGGCTGGAAGTGATGTGAGTACTGAGCCCCTCCCTGTCTCTACGCTTCTCAGCCCACACCCTCCCACATGACCTCCCTTCACCCATGGCATGCCCACTTGCTGTCCCAAGCCATCACCCTGTGGCCAGCACATCCCACCATTCAGCTGCACATGATGGCAAGCCTTTGCTTTTCCCTTCTTTTCTCACCTGCACGTGTGTGTGCACACACATGAGCACATGCATGTTTGGAGCAGGGTGTGTGCATATGTTGGAGATGGGGTGGGAAGTGAGGAGGTCAGAGGTCAGCCTCAGATGTCATTCCTCAGGAGCTGCATTCCTTGTTTGTTTGAGATGCGGTCTTTCATTTTACCTGGAACTTTCTGGTATGTCTAGTCTGGCAGGCCAGGGAGCCCCAGAATCTGCCCACCGCCACCTCCCCAGTGCCGCCATTGTAAACATGTGCCACCACATGCAACATCATCATTCAGTTTCTGGGGAATCAAACTCATGCCTTCATGCTCGCAAGGCAAGCATTTTAGCAACTGAACCATCTCCTCAGTCCCTTCTTTCTCTCGCTCTTTCATTTTATTCCTCATCCCCCCTTCTACCCCTTCCCGCTCCTTCTTCTTCTCCTCACCCCCCCATTCCTTATGTGGCTTCAAAATCAAAATGTTTCATTCTTACACAGATGGTTAGATCATAGGTCAATGTCCCCATGGATCCTTCACATTTCCTGCATAGACACCCCGTCATGAGGGATGTTTACCTCATTACCACTAAGTAAGGATGAGTTCCATGTGATTGCCCATCAGAGTTTCTGAGGGGGAAATGTCAGGTCTGTGTAACCAGAGCGAGGCAGCCACCTAGACCTCCAAGTTAAGTCAGCCCCAGAAGACACCTCCATTAAGTCTTTTGCTTCAGAAAGCTAGCAACTGCCCCATTACTTCAGTCTAGACCTCCCTGCGGGTCCCCGTGTTCCAGTGGGAGCCATTGAGAGCCGCTGTGTTCTTCTCTTTCCTCAGCTCCCTCTGCGCACAGAGCAGGAAGCTGAAAGGCCTGCCGGCAATGCCCACTTTTCCGATGTGTATTCATTTGCTTTATAAACATGTGTCCTCCCAGGAAATCCCTGAGCACACGAGCACACTATGCCACCTGCAAAGAAGGAATTGACACCTCGTAGTTGCCAGGGCAGGAGCCAGTGCATGATGCCCATCTGTCCACTTGGCCTGCCACTGCAGTGCGTGCTGGGCCCACTCATCCCTGCCACTGCAGTGCATGCTGGGCCCACTCATCCCTGCCACTGCAGTGCATGCTGGGCTATTAGAAGGCAACTGTGAGAGGCTTTTCTTACAGCTCTGCCCCATCGTGATGCAGGAAGGATTCTGAACTCAGAGAGCATCCCCTAAAGATAGCATCAGAACACTTTGCACCCAACCAAGCTTCATTTATCTCTGAGTCCTCAGGACCTGCTGAAGGGATTAAGAGTGAAGAGAGCACCTGCAGAGAGCCACACGAGGCCATCTGTGTATGCCTCATGTACTCAAACATGAACAAATGCAAGCTCTCTAAATCAGAGGAGTTTAAAAGGTTAATGAACGTGCTAGAGAGGTGTTAACAACAGTGCTCTTGCAGAGGACTAAGTTCAGATCTCAGTACCCACATTGGCATCTCATGAATGCCTGTAACTCCAGGGGATCTGACGCCCTCTTTTGGCCTCCTCCAGCACCCACACATACAAGGCATACACACATACGTAAAAGATATAAACAATGAAAGTTTACTGAAAGGGCTGGAATGTGGCTCCATGGGTAAAGTGCTCACCATGCGCACACACACACACACACACACACACACACACACACACACACACACACACCAAGTTTAGATCTGCAGCAACAATACTAAAAGCTGGGCACGATGTACACTTATAATCCCAGCACTAGGGAGGCATAGGTAGGTAGACCCCTGGGACTTACCAGCCAGGCAGTTTAGAGGAATTGGTTAGCATAGGTTAAGTAATAGATGTTGTCTCAAATAATGAGGTAGAGAGTGATTGAGGAAGACACCAGATGTCGACCTCTAACTTCCATATTGCACACACACACACACACACACACACACACACACACACACACACACACACACACACACAGAGACAGAGGGACAGAGATACAGGGAGAGACAGAGACAGAGAGAGACATAGAGAGACAGAGACAAAGACAGAGAAAGAGAATGATATAGTACCCAGTCCAGAAAGCCTTAGTGTACATTCAGAAACTGAAACAGGAACAATCCCATTCTACCTCCTATCTGCCCTTCTCCAGGGTGACTCTGATTCTCCTTAGATGCTGGTCATCCATGGGGAGCAAAATCACCCTAGCTAGCCATGATGAACCTGGAGCCCAGCCAGTGCAGACCTTGAGAGCAGCCTTGGGGCCCATTTGGCTTTGGCAGCCAGGATCTCCTCCAGCATCGGGGCCCTCAGATCAGTGAGCTCTCTCTGTCCCACCTGGTCCTCAGCCCCTGGCTGCCTCCATGATGTGGTTGTGTCTTCTGTTCATGTCACCCGAGGGTCTCTGCTTCTATGTCCTTTAGTGCCAACTAAATTTGTCCTGGCCCATCCTCCCTCATAACATCACCCACACTGGGAGAGACAAGGCTACTATCTCAAACCCTCCCCTCCCACAAGTCCCTTGGTCATAAATGTTTGCATTCTGGGTGCCTGGCATACAAGAGTGCTCACTAAGTGCACAGTGGCTGGTTGCTGGCTGAAAGCATGTAGAAACACATTAGTGAGTATGTGTTTTAGGCTGTTTGCTGACCTTCACTCCTCTCTTACCTTCAGGGTGTGTCTTAGGAATAAACATATAGGTGCCCGCTGTCAATCAGAAACCCAGCTCCACTGCCCCCACTCAGCTCGTGATTTAAAAACAAAATCATTTTGATGATGTTGGAGAACACTGCCCATGAACTTGCATATTTCTCCGTACTATTCACATTTTTAAACTACCTTTGAGAACCCTTAGATCATCCAGTCTGGGTATCAAATAAATATGTGTTAGCAGCTCATAAAGGCTCCGTCAGCAACAGCCCAATTGCGTACTTCCAATATAGCATGTTCTTTTTATTCTGAGCTGTTTTTATGTTCTACTGATTTACATATCTTCCCCGCTATTTACTTATTTGATTTCCTCTAAGTAAAATACATTTTTCAGCAAATGTTGCTGTATGTATAAAATAATAGGCTTTCTGCAATGGTGAAACACCTCATCGCTAAAGATAGAAATATTTGCAGACCTGTGATTCAAACCAATTTGGGTGCCACGGGCTGCAGAACCGATTCAGAAGGCTGTTGGCCCCTGGGAGTTGCTGGTGTAATAAACACAGTGCTCTTCCAAGTCGGGATGAATGGGAGAGTGGTACATCTTTAGATCCAGAGAGCTCTTGGAACAGGGGAGATGGTTCAGTCAGTAAAATGCTTGCCAGGTGGGTATGAGGACCTGCATATAGATTTCCAGTGCCCTTATGAAATCCTGGGCATGGTAGCATGTGCTTGTAATCCCAGAGCTGAGGAGGCAGAGACAGGCCTGTCCTGGGAGCTTGCTGGTGAGACAGTCTAGTGGAATTGTTAAGCTCCAGGTTCAGTGGGCAACCGTGTCTCAAAAACAAGAGATGGTAAGGGACAGTGGGCTGATTCAGTGAGTGAAGGTGGCTGCCATCCAAGACTAGTGACCCGAGTTCAATCCTCACCTCTGACAGAAAGGTGGAAGGAAGAAGTCCACTTTATACAAGCTGTTCTCTGGTGTCCACATGCCCTTGAGCTTACACACATGCACACATACACATAAACCACAGACGCACATACAAAGATCTGAGGACATCACAGCACCAGCGATGGCCAGAGTAATGATAACAGTAACAATTCAGGGATGTAGGGTATCACATGCTTCTCAGAGAACCTTCTAGTCCAGCTCTGCCACATTTCTACGATTACTCAGATAGCAAATAAATAAATAAGAAAGAAAAACATGAATATTGCGAAAGGAACTGAGAGGCACTTAGGACTGAACAGTGTCCTTCAAAAGCCTGGGAGAGCCTGTTTCCCCCTTTCTCTCCACTCCAGTTAAAAGCCATTTTGTTGAATACAGGAATTAGGGCTGGGGAGATGGCTCAGTCGGTAAAGCCTTCACCTTGCAAGCAAAAGGACCAGAGTTCGATTCCCCAGAACCCACATTAAAGAAAAAAGACAGGCATGGTAGTGCACACTTGTAGTCCCAGTTCTGGGGAGGCAGAGACATGAGGGTCCCTGGTGCTCCCTGGCCAGCCAGTCTAGACTAATTGGTGAGTCCCAGGCCAGAGAAAGACCCTATCTCACAAGTAAAAATGTCAACAGCTCCTGAAGTTCAGTACCTACGGTTGACCTCTGCCCTTCATATACATGCGCAGGTGCTTGTGTGAGCACACACACCAGCAAGCTCTCATATACATACATGCATACACACACACATACATACAGAGAATAATTGAAGTGAGCTTTTAAAAACGAACCATTCAGTGGGATGTCCTCACACTCGTTTGCTCCATGGTTGATCATTTAGCACTGAGCTTTGTCTCTGCTGGAAGCTGGCTGAGTGATGCTCCCTGCCCACGATACCGGTAGCAAGGCTGCTGACTACAGCAGAGCCCCCAGGAGCCAGGATGACCAGGGGTCCTTCCCACCTTACTGTGGGACTCAGGGCAGGTTGCCTTACTCCTCTACCTCAGTTGGCTCAGCTTACAGACTGGACATGGTGGCACTGACCTCACAGGACTGTCATGGAATGGAATCAGCCAGTATTTCTCCAGTCCTGTGTTGAACCCAGTGGAAAAGAGACTCTCAAGAATTTAATGGTCCTATGGTTTCCTCCCACCTCAAAAAGCAACATTGTCTCTCATGCTTTGGGTCTCTGCCTTGAAGCTGGGTGCTTCCATCCCTGAGACTTCATGTTACTTTTGACCAGCTCCTCATGACCATCTGACATACTAGAGGTGAC